TGTATATATGTTTTACTTATGAATGTGAATATGTTTGGAAAAGTCTTTTTGCATGCAGACTGTCACAGCTCATTGGACATCTTTTATTACTGTTTTGGCTTCTGCCAGCCTCTTTGTGATTTTATGCTAGGTTTAATTTAAATTTGATTTGGGAACAATTAAATCAGATTAAATATTGTTGAATCACATTAGTTGCTTTAATTACCATTTTGCCATTAGTGGGCCACTACCTACAACATTGTCTTGGAGCCTTTGATGCATCATTCTTGTTCATTCCTGGAGGCAAAACCGACTAGAAAGAGAGAGTTAGGAGAAAACTTGAGTTCATCAAAGAATTGCTTGGAGAATTAGAAGAATTGAAGAGTAGATTGCATAATTGAGCTTCTAGACTTGAAATTGAAGACCTAAGGTAGGAGAATCATCTTCTTGAACTTGAATTCTAGTTGTATCTTGCATGGTCCATGAGCCATTAGTGATCTAAGTCTAGAATTGGTTTTAAATTGTTGAATTGAAGCTTGAATCATGCATGCATGTACACATTGGTGAGTTTTGAGGTTGTTTTCATGGAAATTCTTACATGCATGTCTATATTCTAGCTTTGGTCCATGAATTCATCATGTTTTTGAGTGAATTGACTCATTTGATTAAGTATTTGAAGCTTTGATTTCAATTGAACACTTGCATGTTACATATACATTATGTTCATGAAGTTTTGTTTGGATTTGTGTTTAATTGAACTACCTTTGGGCTTTGATTTTGCAAATTGATCTTTGAAACGTGTCATATTATGAGTTTTAAAGTGTTTTCCAGAAAATTGGCCCAAAAGAATCGAATTTGATGTTTTAAATGTTGAATTTGAGCTTGGAGGTTCAATCTGGAAATTCCAGATTTTGGACCCACGCTCGAGCGTAAGACTTCACGCTCAAGCGTACACTCTGAGTACATGCATCCCGCTCGAGCGAGGAAAATAACGCTCGAGCGTGAAATGCGTGTATCTAGTACTTTTCATATATTTACAATCCGCTCGAGCGAGGGAATGCATGCTCGAGCGAGGACTTGTGTCTCATGCTCGAGCGGAGGTCGAGCGCCCATCGAGCATCAATTGCATGTATCCAGTACTTTTGCTTTGTTTTACAGTCCGCTCGAGCGAAGGAAGTCATGCTCGCGCGGAGATCCTTTGTCTGCATGTCCGCTCGAGCGTAGAAAGCCACGCTCGAGCGAGACCCCTGTTTTCTGAAAATTCTGAAAAGTGTTTTAAAGTGCATATTTGCATCCTTATTTCATCCTAGGCATTCTTAGGCCTAGTTTAAGGCATCTTAATGAGGATAATGCTGTAGAACCACCGAGTCAAGATAGGGACTAAGTTGTTGATTCCCAAGTGTGTGACTTAGTGTGTGTTCATTCTGTAACTGTGTAGGGTTGGCATCCAAGGACGCTCGTTAACTGCTTTTAGCCCAGTGCTCTGTGAGTAACAATGTTGTAAAGATATGTTCACTCATGAATATTTTCTGAATGATCTATTGTACTACTTTTCTGAAATGATATTTCTTACTGAATGAATGTTTGTCCTATTTATGAACTGAATTCGTGGCATCCATAGCAATCTACTGTTACTGAACTATTACTACTATTGTTACAGAGATCTCTGTCGGTTTCCATGTTTGGAACCACTACTATTTACTGTTATGATGGCCATCAACTGACTGTTCAGTCTGTTAAGACCTACTGTACTGTTGTGCTATGGGATGTACCACCTATGACTGCTATGGTTTCTAAATGACTGATATGACTGCTTATTGACTGAAAGGACATTCATTCTTAACCTCTTTACACAACTGTTATTCACTGGGCTTTAGCTCATTGTTTATATATATATATATATGTAGGTGTCCAGGTACCGGACCGGAGCTAGGAGCCTTGGGTTAACTCCTTTTTTGTCAAGCCAACCATTGTGTCTCACTGCGAGGTTCCAAGTGTGCTCAAGCTAAGGCTGCTTTGGGGTGTTTTGGATTCCCCTTTTCTGCTTCTGTTTTGTATAGAATGTTAAGACTTTTACTGTACTGTCATGGTAGGGATTTGGTCCCTAACCTGAATGTCTGTATATGTTGTTTGTATATATGTTTTACTTATGAATGTGAATATGTTTGGAAAAGTCTTTTTGCATGCAGACTGTCACAGCTCATTGGACATCTTTTATTACTGTTTTG